CAGCCTCCGACATAGCTGGGACTATAGGCATGCACCACCACGCCTGGCTAATCTTAAAATTTTTTAGTAGAGACAGGGTCTCACTGTGTTGCCCAAGCTGTTCTACTGTGCCTGAGCTCAAGTCGTCCTCCCACCATGGCCTTTCAAAGGGCTGGGATTATATATAGGAGACACCGCACCTAACCCCGATTCTTTAAAATACTATTAATATTTCAGCCCTTCAATAATACATATTTATAATTCCTAAAAATAAGTCTATGATTTTAAAATTTCTCAGCTTCTAATCTGGGTATTAATGACTCCCAATTTAAGATTAAATGATTGACCCAGAGGAAAAAACATATACAAGTTTAGAACGGCAAACACCGTTAAGATGCTACATTTATTTAGCATCCTGTCAAAATTTTTATCAGCCAACTTTACTATTCACCTTTATGCTTTAATAAAGCTCAACTTTAAAAGGTTATTTGGGCCAGGCGTGGTGGCTCATGCCTATAATCCTAGCAGTTTGGGAGGCTGAGGTTGGAGTATCACTTGAGCTCAGGAGTTCAAGAGCAGCCCTGGTAACTAGTGGGATCTAGTCTCTACAAATAATTTAAAAATTAGCTAGGCATGGAGGTGTGTGCCTGTGGTCCCAGCTACTAGAGAGGCTGAGGTTGTGCAGTGAGCTGCGATTGCACCACTGCACTCCCAGCTGATAGACAGAGGGATACCCTGTCTGGAAAAAATAAATACATACGCAAAGGTTACTCGGTTAAGTACTAAATAAGACAGCTTCTTTTTATACCATGCTTGCTTAATGAAGGTATACTTCCATGACAAGTAGGTTTCTTGATAAGAAAATCTAACAATTTTAGTAACCCAACTACACATTAACACACAGAAAATGTAGTTGATCACTGACATTTAATTTAGAAAATGTATCTTTAGAAAGAGCTAAATTTGCATGCTTATTATGTGCCAGGCACTGTGCTAGAAAGATTCATGTGCCTTATTCCATTTAGTCCTAAGAGGTGGGTACTATTATTAGCATACCTATTTCACAGTGGGGAAGTGGAGCTTTGATTTTGTACCTTACCCAGCTAGGAAATGTTAATTCTATTCTTCGAACTGAGGACCATGTCAGAGCTCAAAAAAGATTTAATTCCATTCCTGTTCAAAACAGTGTTCTCCAGGTAAAATAGATCTTGATTAATTAAAAAATCTCCAGAATATTAAAGTTACATTATAGCACAGACTTCATAAACAGTGACTGGATTTTACTTTCAGCCTTCTCTTTAATATGCCTAAATAATTCTAGACCTTGAGCTTTCCTAAACCTTTAATCATTTATGGTGCTCTCCGCTGTACCTACCCATTAGAACAATTTTTAAAAACATTAATACTGTGTAATTATTTTCAAAAGCCCAGAGATACTAATCAAGTGATCCTAATAGTCTTAAACACCATCCTCAAACCAAAAGATAAACGGAGATTGAGAAACTTGCATTCTAAAGTGCCACCATCCAGATAAAATTGCCTTGTGAAATTAGAGTAATTTCAATCAGATCCTGTAAAACTGAAAATTTTTCTCAAGACCAGAATTAGAGAGTAACTGTAAGACAAAGGCCCAATTTCTAAAACATAAAATGGTTTTCCACATAGCAAATTCAATAGCAAAAGGTAGTCAGTAAGGGTTAGGGAGAGCAGCAACAGTTTAAGAGAATAAAAATAAAATTCCAGGGCTGGGTGAGGTGGTTCATGCCTGTAACTCCAATAACTTGGGAGGCCAAGAGGGGAGGATCACTTGAGGCCAGGAGTTCAAGACCATCCTGGGCAACATAGCAAGTCTCATTTGACAAAAAACAAATTTAGTCAGGCATAGTAGCACCCTGTAGTCCCAGCTACTTGGGAGGCTGAGGTGAGAGGATCACTTGAGCCCTGGAGTTTGAGACTACAGTGAGCCACAATCATGCCACTGCATTCCAGCCCGAGCTCTGTAAGCGAGACTCTGTATCAAGTAAAAAAGAAAAGAAAAAAAAATACAAAATATTAAACTATTCATGTCATGGCTACTCTGACTTAATGCAAGACTATAATTACTCTAAAAAATCATATGCTGTTCAAATAAGGTCTAATTTCCTTACTATATGGTGTCCTCAGTTTTAAGTTAACATATTACATACTAAAAGAAATCCAAGGGCATTTCATGCATTAAAAACTCATTAGGTTTTCATAAAGGTACCTGCATTTATGACTCTTAACAGCTATTAACACCCAATGAGTTGGTTTATACAAAAATACAAACCGAAGTAAGTGCATAATTTGTTAGTTCCCTAACTCAATCATTCTTAAAAAAGATTATTTTCTTTAACATGCAAATGACTATACCAAAACCCTTTTTTTTTTTTTTTCCTGAGATAGGGTCCTAATCTGTTATGAGGGCTTGAGTGGAGTGGTATGATAGCTCTCTGCAGCCTCAACCCCCTGTGATCAAATGATCTTCCCACCTTAGCCTTTTGGAGTAGCTGGGAAGGCAGGCATGCATGCCACCACACCCAACGAATTTTTGTGTGTGCGTGTGTGTGTGTGTGTGTGTGTGTGTGTGTGTGTTTTGTAGGGAAGGGGTTTCAATATGTTGCCCAAGCTGGTCTCAAACTTCTGAGCTCAAGGGATCCACCCACCTTGGCCTCCCAAAGTGCTGGGACTACAGGCGTGAGCCACCATGCCAGGCCCAAAAACCATTTTTTTTTTTTTTTTTTTTTTTTTTTTTTTTTTTTTTTTTTTTTTTTTGAGACGGAGTTTCGCCCTTGTTACCCAGGCTGGAGTGCAATGGCGCGATCTTGGCTCACCGCAACCTCCGCCTCCTGGGTTCAAGCAATTCTCCTGCCTCAGCCTCCTGAGGAGCTGGGATTACAGGCATGCGCCACCATGCCCAGCTAAGTTTTGTATTTTTAGTAGAGACGGGGTTTCACTATGTTGACCAGGATGGTCTCGATCTCTTGACCTTGTGATCCACCCGCCTCGGCCTCCCAAAGTGCTGGGATTACAGGCTTGAGCCACCGCGCCCGGCCCAAAAACCATTTTTTAATTTTTTTTTATTATTTATTTAAAGATGGGGTTTCACCATGTTGGTAAGGCTGGTCTTGAATTCCCAACCTCAAGTGATCCACCCGCCTTGGCCTCCAAAGTGCTTGGATTACATGCGTGAGCCACCACACCCGGCCCCAAAAAACACTTTTAAGTGTCACATCAGTGATTTGCTAAGGTATCAGATGTATTTTAAAAAAGGAGGATTCAATTATTATACTAGAATCCATTTAATATAATGCACTCAGCAAGATAAACACAAAGTTAGCAAGTGGAGGAAGTGTAGGCAGGAGATTCAATTTAATTGTGTGACAGGAAGTACCTGCTATGGAAGTTTAGAAACAAGAATACCAAGTTCTGTTTTAGCACAAGAAAAAAAAAAAACGCTGGTCAACAGGGCAAAAGAGGAAGTTCTTTTTAGTCAACCAGTCATGTATTACAGACGATTAGAAAACATTCACTTTTCCACTAGGTTTATGTGTGAATGTAGTTTTCCAGGTGTAGTGAAGCCTGGATTTTGCAGTTACCCTATGTTGCACAGCCTATGATTCACATTTTACACATCCATAAGAAGACAACAGTGGCTTGAACATTCAACTACTAGCTTCTTATCTTAAAGTACGATGATTAACTTTTTAAAAAAATCAATGCTAACTACATAAGAATCATTTAAAAAAAAAAAAAATACTTAAGTTTCACAATAATGTGAAAATACTACTAAGCCCTGAACTTAAAAAATAAGATGAGGCCGGGCATGGTGGCTGACGCCTGTAATTCTAGCAGTTTGAGAGGCCGAGGTGGGAGGATCATTTGAGCTCATGAATTCGAGACCAGCCTGGGCAACACAGTAACACCTCATCTCTATAAAAAATGGTTAGGATGGTAAATTTTACGTTTTGTGTTTTTCACGACACAAAGTGCATGAGTTAATGAAAAATTATTTCACTTAAATGTTAATAGTAGCTTTTCATATAAATTTTTATTACTCTAAAGGCAAAATCGTCTTATACTCAATTTCTAATAATGTAATTTGTCATCTTTTAATTAATGTAATTGATTTTTAAAGATGCTTTCATACATAAGCAAATTCTTTAATCCTGAACTATAGAGTGAAAGTGAAGCACTATTTTCAATTAGCATATTTCAAATCATCTGATTTATTGCCAACAAACACTAGTCATGAAATTACGTGTATTTTATTTCTGTTGATTCTGTCATTCAGTTAAATGCAAATCTCGCATTAAGAGAGCAAGTTCCCTAAATAATAGGCTTTTCTTAAAGCAACTGTAGTTTTGGATTATGAGGTAGGTGACACTCACCACACCTCAGCCTCTAGCAGGGCGGTGGCCCAAAGTGCTAAAGTCAACCACGTCCAATCACCCTTCTGGTCTGGCTCAGCCCTATCAAAAATTGTCAGGCTTCTGTGAATTCCCATTAAGTCCTGTTCAGAAGAGCGCACAAGATCGGTTACTTGAGTAACTCGGGAAGGGCCTGGAGCAGCCGGCTTGGCTTGCTACCTCTGGGAAGTCTCCAGGAAGAAAAAAACTGAGAAAATGCTTCAACTTTGCGCAAGCCCCCTTTCTCAGTCAACATCTCTTTCCCTTCCCGGTGAAGGGACGTGTTCTCGAAAGATCTACCCCTTTCCAACTCAAATGTCATTCCCAGATCAGCTGCTGGAGGGGCAAGCGGCGCTCAACCCACGCCCTCCTCTTCGAGCACCTTCTCCAAGTGCCAGCGAGGCGCGCTCGCTCTGCAGTCCCCGACACCCGCCCTACAGGAAGAGGGGCCCTGGCTCACGACCCCGGTCCGCCTCGACAAGGGGGCTCCAGGCCTGGGCGGCTGTGGCTGTCCGCGGCGGTCCGCTCCTGGTCCGGGTGGGGGCGACCAAAGCCAGCGGAAAGGGTTTTGGGAGCGGGGAAAGACGGCCTCACCTTGACCCTGATTTCGTAGGTGGTGAAGCGGCCCCGGCCGACCCCCACCGTCTGAGGGTTGCTCACGTCGATCTCGAGGAAGTTGCTGGGGGGCCCGTAGGCGTCATTCAGATTCTGCGGCTTGGTGATCAGCCGCCGGGTGTCAGCCACGGTCTCCGCCATTTCGCTGTAGCTGCCGCCGCCGCGGGCTCCCTCCGCCCCCTCCGCGTTCAGCCGACGACGCAGCTGCAGCCAGCCGCGGGGACACGGGGCTCGCGCGCAGCGGCGGCGAAACGAACGAGCACGTAGAGCGGGCGTTCACCCAACGCGCGAAGCTCCTCCCCGCACCCCTCAAGCTTCCGCCTCCGTGCTCAGGGGAGAAAGAACTGACTCGCCGGAACGCCGCGCCCGGGAGGCCCGGCCGAGGCCGGGGAGGAGCACTGCGGGCTTGGGTGTGAGAAGAAGCAGTGTCACGGGACTCGCGGTGGCAAACAGGTTCCGGCCGGACTACAGCCCCCACAATGCACCGGGCGAGCGCGCCGCCGCGGGGCTGCGGGCTGAGGAGGCGAGGACCCAGACGCCCGGGGGTGGCGCTTCCTGTCTCTCTGCGCCAGCCTCGGCCTGCGACGGGGCAGAGCGCGGGAAACGGCCTTAAACCGCTTTAGGAACTGGGGGTGAAAGTTAATCGGCGACATCTGAGAGGTTTGCCCGCAAATCGAAACAAAACTGCCCCTACTACCTCTATGCCAGCCTGTGCACCGTCTCACTGTGAACCCCTGAAAATGACTTTCTGCAGAGCGTTTAGCAAATGCCTGAAATGATGATTTTGCCATAAACCTGAGAGTTTGACCAGACACGCGTCTGGATTGATACATTGAAAGCAGTAAAGTGGGGGAGTGAAATAAAAACAAAAGCCCTCGCGAAATCCTAGCCTTGTGGTCAAACCGCTTTTGGAGACAGGTCGGCCCACTGAAACAAAACAGTAGACGGGCAGGAAGCTACCCTGAGTGTCCCATGTCTGGGCGTGCCGCCACCCTCATTTCTCACGAAATCCTGGTAAGTTTTTTTTTTGAAAACTTAAACGTACCTCTACAGGACTTGAAATGCACTCACTTAAACCTTTTTAAGAAACGGGGAGGAAACAAACCCAATTAGTTAGGTCCTAGTTCATCTCTCATGTTCCAATGGGAAATTGAGATTCTAAAGGCTGAGATATGATACATTTCTATCTCTGCCTTGAGAGTTATCTCTCTTAATGATACGGTCTTACAACTATTTCTACATTTTTTTTTTTTTTTTTTTTTGGAGACGAAGTTTCAGTCTTGTTACCCAGGCTGCAGTGCAATGGCGCGATCTCGGCTCACCGCAACCTCTGCCTCCTGGGTTCAAGCAATTCTCCTGCCTCAGCCTCCCGAGTAGCTGGGACTACAGGCGCGCGCCACCATGCCCAGCTAATTTTTGTATTTTTAGTAGAGACGGGGTTTCACCATGTTGACCAGGATGGTCTCGATCTCTTGACCTCGTGATCCACCCGCCTCAGCCTCCCAAAGTGCTGGGATTACAGGCTTGAGCCACCGCGCCCAGCTATTTCTGCATTTTTTAATATATCAAGTTTAACCCTACAGTTACTTTAACCTGATCCTCCCCCCCTTTTTTTTAGATTTTAAATTATTAATAGTAGTAATTATTTGTGGAGACGGGATCTCAGTGATTCCCAGGCATCGAAGTGATACTCCCTCCGCGGTATGGCATAAGTGCTGAGATAACAGGCAGGAGTCACCGTTCTCGGCCTGATCTGTCCCTTAAACTGAAGTTTCCTTTTTCTTTTTTTTGAGACGGAGTCTCGCTCCGTCTTTCAGGCTGGAGTGCAGTGGCGGATCTTGTCTCACTGCAATCTCCACCTTCTGGATTCAAGCAATTCTCCTGCCTCAGCTTCCCGAGTAACTGGGATTACAGGCATATGCCACAACACCCAGCTAATTGTTGTATTTTTAGTAGAAACGGGGTTTCACCATGTTGGCCGGGAGTCTCGAACTCCTGAGTTCAGCTGATCCGCCCACCTCAGCCTCCCAAAGTGCTGAGAATACAGGTGTGAGCCACTGTGCCTGGCCAACAGCAACCATTCTTAATAACACTAAGAAACATTGGAATAAAAAGAAATTACTTAAACACAGTGTATATTATTTTCCAGAATACAACATTGATTTATTCATTCAATAAATATTTGTTGAAGGCCTACTAGATGTTTTCTTCCTAGGTACTAGAGATGAAAGTGTAAGTCAGGTTTATAGCCTAGTGTATAGTGTATCTTGGGAAGACAGATCAGTAAATATTACACCTGCCAATATGATTGGTGCTATGAGGCAAATAAAACTAAATAATGTGACAGACAAGCTCATTAGATATTAATACTGGGCATGTTTCCTGATACAAGATACCAAATGGGAACTTGAGTGGTATGATTAGAGTTGTGAGCTCAATAAATGTATATCAGTGACTCTGAATTGAAGTCTGTGAAAGCTAAGACACCAAGAACTGCTGTATTATGTTGTCATCGGTGACACCAGAACAAAGCAATCATGGAATATTCTCATAGAATGCTCCTGTCTGATTCCTTGGCGGCCACTCAGGGCAGCCTTGGGCAGCCGCAAAAAATGCCTGCTTTGGGCAAGCGGCTAGGAGGGACAGCGGCACAGCATCATAGCATAGTTGTATAGCTAAAGAAGACATTCTTGGTGTAAATATCAGGAAAAAAATTATCTTTATTTTTCAGGAATTGTGATTGCTTTTCTAGAATACAAATCCAGAAAGAATAAGCTACTAGAATTAACAAGAGAATTTAGCGACAGGATAAGAATAAAGAATGTAATTAATAGCTTTCCTTTGTCTAGGCAATGTCTAGTTAGAATGGAAATGGAAGAAAATATCCTGTTCACAAGTGACCAGAAGCACAAAATATCTGGGAAGGAAGGTATAGGAGTTATATAGAGCAAAGGGAACGTAGGACTAAAACTATGAAATTGTGTTAAAAGATGTAAGACAAAACCTAAAGAGAAAAGAGTCTGTGTTGCTAGACGGGAGGACTTAGTATCAGAAAAATGTCACTCTGTCTAAAATTAATAACTTAATACAACTAGAATCTCAATGTGGTTGGTTTTACCCACCTCCACATTGGATGGGTGGGTGGCACTGAGTCAAGTTGTTGTTGTTGTTGTTTTCTTTTTTTTTTAGACAGAGTCTCTCTGCTGCCTAGGCTGGAGTACAGTGGCACCATTACTGCTCAACGGAGCCTTGACGGTTGGGCCTCAAGCGATCCTCTCATCTCAGCCTCCCAAGTAACTGGGACTATAGGCTCTTGCCACAATGCCCAGATAATATTTTTTCATTTTTGTAGAGATGGGGTTTTGCCATGTTGCCCAGGCTGGTATCAAACTCCTGGGCTCAAGTGAGCCTCCCAACTCAGCCTCCCAAAGTGCTGGGATTGCAGGCATGGACCACTGTGCCTGGCCAAGATTTTTTTGAAGTTTCATATGGTGGAGAATAAAAAGATAAAGAAAGTGAAAAAAAATTGAAAGAGGACTTGCCTTACCAAATGTTAAAACTTACTATAAAGCCACTGGAAGCAAGAGTGTGCTTTTGGCTTGTTAAAGAGCATAGAAACAGATTACAATAAAGAATGTGATATATAACAAGGGACACATTTCAATACATTGAAGAAATGGTACCAGCATGGTTGGATATTCAGGGACTAGGGAGGAGCTAGTCTTCTGCCTTATACCCTATTTGAAAGAATTCCAGATAGATTTAAATATAAAAAAAAACAAAAACAAAAACACACAAAAAAAACAACCAGGTGCAGTGTCTCAGGTCTGTTATCCCAGCACTTGGAAGGAGGATCACTTGAGCCCAGGAGTTTGAGACCAGCCTGGCAACATAAAGAGGCCTCATCTCTACAAAAAATAAAAAATTAGCTGGGCATGGTGTCAAGTGCCTGTAGTCCTAAATACTTGGAAGGCTGAGGCAGGCGGATCCCTTGTGCCCAGGAGATTGAGGCTGCAGTGAGCCATGATCATGCCACTGCATTCCAGCTTGAACCATAGAGTGAGACCCTATCTCGAGAAAAAAATTTAGAGAAAATTTAGGAGAAATGTTGTATAATCTTGAGGTAAAGGAGTGCTTCCTAAGCAATATGGGAAGCAAACCATGAAGAAAAAGTAGTCACTGAAGTACACATATTTTAAAATAAAAATTACATAGTGAAAAACATTACGTATTTTTAAATGGGAAAAGTAGGCCAGGTGCAGTGACTCATGCTTGTAATCTCAGCACTTGGGAGGCTGAGGTGAGTAGATCACATGAGGTCAGGAGTTCAAAACCAGCCTGACCAACATGGCCAAACCCTGTCTCTATTAAAAATACAAAATTAGCTGGGCTTGGTGGTGCATGCCTGTAATCCCAGCTACTCAGGAGGCTGAGGCAGAATTGTTTGAACCCAGGAGGCAGAGATTGCAGTGAGCTGAGATCACACCATTGCACTCCAGCCTGGGCAACAAGAACAAAACTCCATCTAAAAAAAAAGTGAGGGGAAGTATATATGCAACACATAGGATAGTAAAGCCTAATATCCCTAATATTAGAAGAACTCCCATAAATTAATAAGTCAAAGACAACCTAATAGAAAAATAGGCAAAGAATATGAATAGGTACTGTTCTCTGTGTTTTTCAGATCATTATTGAATCCTCGTAACAACTTGGAATAAGTACCACTATTATTCCCATTTTACAAATGGGAAAACTGAGACACAAAGGCTTTATCATTCAGAAATGACAAAACTTGGCCGGGCACTGTGGCTCATGTCTGTAATCCCAGCATTTTGGGAGGCTGAGATGGGTGGATCACCTGAGGTCAGACATTCAAAACCAGCTTCGCCAACATGGTGAAACCCCGTCTCTAATAAAAATACAAAAAACAGCTGGGCGTGGTGGTGGGTCCCTGTAATCCCAGCCACTCAGGAGGCTGAGGCAGGAGAATCGCTTGAACCCCAGAGGTGGAGGTTGCAGTGAGCCAAGATGGTGCCACTGCACTACAGCCTGGGAGTCAAGAGCAAAACTCCATCTCCAAAAAAAAAAAAAAGACGAGATAAAGAAATGGCAAAACTAGCTCCAGAGTTTATATCCTTAGCAATATTTTATGCTGCCTCTTAGGCAAGGAAATTCAAATGGACAATAAGCATAAAAGGGAAATGAAGGCTGGGCGCGGTGGCTCAAGCCTGTAATCCCAGCACTTTGGGAGGCCAAGGCGGGTGGATCATGAGGTCAAGAGATCAAGACCATTCTGGTCAACATGGTGAAACCCCGTCTCTACTCAAAATACAAAAATTAGTTGGGCATGGTGGCGCATGCCTGTAATCCTAGCTACTCAGGAGGCTGAGGCAGGAGAATTGCCTGAACCCAGGAGGCGGAGGTTGCGGTGAGCCGAGATCGCACCATTGCACTCCAGCCTGGGTAACAAGAGCGAAACTCTGTCTCAAAAAAAAGAAAAAAAAAAAAGGAAATGAAATGAAATTACTATCAGCTGACTGTTTAGTGAGCTCAGAGTAAAGATGAATGGATAATCTTAATGGCCAAATCCTTCAAACTGTGATAATTAATATTCTACTCAAGAGACATACCTCTCAGGGCATCCACAGCAATACCAGTATACAGACAACTTATTTTTCTAGAATTGGGCCATTTAGGAAAATATAAAATTGATAATAGTTTAACATTTTAGCTCATCCTTAGAATATGCTCGTCTTCTCCTCCTACCTCCACTTCAACTGCCACTATACTCGAACTCACTAATCATGTAAATGCACATTAAACATGACATAACTTTTTTCTGTCTGTCAGAATGGCAAAAATCCAAATGAACAAAAACACACAATAGGAACGTAGGAAAACTGGCATTCACATTTCAACGACATGAGTATGAATTGCTACATTTTTGGAAGAGTAATTTGATGCTATTTATCAAAAGTAAGACTATTAGAAAAGGTTTACCTGCAAATCTAACATTTGCTGCAAGAGACCATGGTACATAAGGTGGTAAGGGCAAAGATGTTTATTGCATCTTTGTTTGTCATGGCAAAAACTGGAAACATTTCCAAGGCCCATCAATTTTTAAAAATGCTTGAATTAGGCCTGACAGTGGCTCATGCCTATAATCTCAGCGCTTTGGGAAGCCGCCCAGCAGATCAATTGTTGAGACCAACATAGGGAGACCCCATCCTTACAAAAAATTTAAAAATTACAGGGCATGCTGGTGGGTGCCTATAGTCACAACTACTTGGGAAGCTGAAGTGGGAGAATTGCTTGAGCCCAGGAGGTTGAGGCTGCAGTGAACTATGATCATGTCACTCTGTTCCATACTAGGTAACAGAGAAAGACCTTGTCTCAAGAAAGATAAAAGGAAAAAAAAATGCTACAATTATAGTATATTTAAACTGTTGGAAATTGTATAATGGTTAAAGTAAATGAACTAGTTATATTTTCACTTGTTAGAATAATCTATTTTTTAGTTGTTAGAATTAGAGGAGGAATATCCATGAGGTATTGGTGAAAGCACTGAATCCTAGCCTCTAGACTACCAGAGACCATGATATATTGGTAAATCTGGATCACAAACTAATTCGTCTGCTATGGTCCATTTGGGTAAACAAAACCCTATCTTTAGACTGGCCACAGGGGCTCACGCCTGTAATCCCAGCACTTTAGAAGGCTGAGGCAGGTGGATCATCTGAGGTCTGGAGTTTGAGACCAGTCTGGCCAACATGGTGAAACCCAGCCTCCACTAAAAATACAAAAAAAAAAAATTAGGTGGGCATGGTGGCACATGCTACTCCCAGCTACTAGGGAGGCTGAGGCAAGATAATTCCTTGAACCTGGGAGACAGAGATTGCAGTGAGCCGAGATCATGCCACTGCACTCCAGTCTGGGTGGCAGAGTGACACTTTGTCTGAAAACAAACAAAAAAACCCCACCCTATCAGTGATTATATGTACATTTATATTTGTATATTTTTATATGTGCTTGGGGAGAAGTGTAGGAGGATGTACACCAGGGTATTAGCACTGGTAGCTCAAGAGGGTGTCATTTGAAGTGGAGGTAGGAGGAGAAGACATGAGCATATTCTAAGGATGAGCTAAAATGTTAGAAAACTATCATCAGTTTTATTTCCTTAACGGCCTAATTCTAGAAAAATAAGTTGTCTGTGTACTGGTATTGCTGTGGGTACAATGAGAGGTGTGTCTCTTGAGTAGAATATTAATTATCACAGTTTAAAGGCTCTGGCCATTAAGATTATCTATTCCTGGCTGGGCATGGTGGCTCATGCCTGTAATCCCAGCACTTTGGGAGGCCAGGTGGGCGGATCACCTGAGATCAGGAGTTCGAGACCAGCCTCCTCAACATGGTGAAATCTCATCTCTACTAAAAATACAAAAATTAGCCAGGCACGGTGGCTCACACCTGTAATCCCAGCACTTTGGGAGACTGAGGTGGGTGGATCACCTGAGGTCAGGAGTTTGAGACCAGCCTGACCAATATGGTGTAAATCTCGTCTTAAAAAAATAAAATAAAAATACAAAATACAGGCCAGACGTTCTTCGCTGAGAGTCGCCGCGGTTTCCTGCTTCAACAGTGCTTGGATGGAACCCAGCGCTCATCCCCCACCCAGGCCGGCCGCCCACAGCCAGTCCTCTGTCACCTCCACACGGCGTCCTCGGACTGCCCCAAGGACCCCGCCGCCTCTCCAGCGCCGCGCAGCCACCGCCACCGCCGCTTCTCCTTAGCAGCCGCCTTGACGACCGCATCACCTTCGCAGGTGCACCAGAACTACCACCAGGATTCAGAGGCCGCCATCAACCGCCAGATCAACCTGGAGCTCTACGCCTGGTATGTTTACCTGTCCATGTCTTACTACTTTGATCGCGATGATGTGGCTTTGAAGAACTTTGCCAAGTACTTTCTTCACCAATCTCATGAGGAGAGGGAGCATGACGAGAAACTGATGAAGCTGCAGAACCAACGAGGTGCCGCATCTTCCTTCAGGATATCAAGAAACCAGACCATGATGACTGCGAGAGCGGGCTGAATGCGATGGAGTGTGCATTACATTTGGAAAAAAAATGTGAATCAGTCACTACTGGAACTGCACAAACTGGCCACTGACAAAAATGACCCCCATTTGCGTGACTTCATTGAGACACATTACCTGAATGAGCAGGTGAAATCCATCAAAGAATTGGGTGACCACGTGACCAAGTTGCACAAGATGGGAGCACCCCAGTCTGGCTTGGCAGAATATCTCTTTGACAAGCACACCCTGGGAGACAGTGATAATGAAAGCTAAGCCTTAGGCTAATTTCCCCATAGCCACGGGGTGACTTCCCTGGTCACCAAGGCAGTGCATGCATATTGGGGTTTCCTTTACCTTTTCTATAAGTTGTACCAAAACATCCACTTAAGTTCTTTGTACCATTCCTTCAAATAAAGAAATTTGGTACCCCCCCAAAAAAATAAAAATAAAATAAAAAATACAAAAATTAAAAATTAGCTGGGCGCAGTGGTGTGCACCTGTAATCCCAGCTACTCGGGAGCCTAAGACAGGAGAATTGCTTGAACCCAAAAGGTGGATGTTGCAGTGAGTCGAGATCACGCCACTGTACCCCAGCTTCGGTGACAGGGTGACACTCTACCTCAAAATTAATTAATTAATTAATTGGGATTCTGTTTTATCAACTAGTCCCTTGTGAATTTGATTAATGTGTCACTTCCTCAAAACCTGGTCACTTCTAAAGGAAAAGGATAAACCAAGTCGCCGAACCTCTGAAGTGTCAGACTCTGGAATTATGGCTATCAATGAAAAGACTCAGACTGTGTGAAATATTTGAAGAGATTTATTCTGAGCCAAATATGAGTGACCAATGACCCATGATACAGGCCTCAGGAGGTCCCGAGAACATGACCCCAGGGTGGTCAGGGTACAGCTTGGTTTTATACGTTTTAGGAATACATGTGACATCAATCAATACATGTAAGATGTACATTGGTTTGGGTCAGAAAGTTGGGACAACTGGAAGCCAGGGCTTTCAAGCCATTAGGCAGATTCAAAGGTTTTCTGATTGGCAATTGGTTGAAAGAGTTATTATCAATAGAAAAGAACGTCTGGGTTGTGATAAGGGGTTATGAAGAAATAAAAGTTTTATTTTGCAGATAAATCCTCCAGGTGTCAGTCAGGCTTTAGAGAGACTAGATTGCAAATGTTTCTTCTCTTTCTTTTCTTTTTTTTTTTTTTGAGATGGAGTCTCACTCTGTCACCCAGTTTGGAGTGCAGTGGTGCAATCTTGGCTAACTACAACCTCAACCTCCCACGTTCAAGTGATTTTCCTGCCTCAGCCTCCCGAGTAGCCAAGACTACAGGTGCATGCCAGCATGCCCAGCTAATTTTTTGTATTTTTAGTAGAGATGAGGTTTCACCATGTTAGCCAGGATGGTCTTGATCTTCTAACCTCATCATCTGCCTGCCTCAGCCTCCCAAAGTGCTGGGATTACAGGCATAAGCCACCATGCTTGGCCTGTAAATGTTTCTTATCAGACCTAAAGAATCTGTTCTATCAGTAATTGCAAAAGGGAGAAGAGTATAATGAGGCATGTCTGACTCTCCCTTCTTGTCATGGCCTGAACTAGTTTTTCAGGTTAACTTTGGAATGCCTTTGGCTGAGAGGAGAGGTCCATTCAGATGGTTGAGAGAACTTAGAAATTTTATTTTTGGTTTACAGGACAAACCTAACGAGACTTGTCAACTTCTCAAGTGCCAGCTGGGTCTCTTTTACATCATGTTTTCTATGTGGAGCATTTCAATTCTTATACCCTGACCTACTGCTCCCAGGGTGCTGAGCATACCTGAAGGAAATCTCAGACCTACTGGCACCTTTGCAAATTTATGGTTTACAACTTTAGTTTATCCTTAGACACATCTCAAAAATCTTGTTTAATTGTTTTTGGTGTTTTTTGTTCTTTTTTTTTTTTTTTTTTTGAGATGCAGTTTCACTCTTGTCACCCAGGCTAGAGTGCAATGGTGCAGTCTCGGCTCCCTGCAATCTCCACCTCCTGGGTTCAAGCAATTCTCCTGCCTCAGCCTCCTGTGTAGCTAGGATTACTCAGCTAGGATTAAGCGCCCACCAACATGCCCATCTAATTTTGGTATTTTTTCAGTAGAGACAGGGTTTCACCATGTTGTCAGGCTGGTCTCAAACTCTTGACCTCAGGTGATTCACCTGCCTCTGCCTCCCAAAGTGCTGGGATTACAGGTGTGAGCCACTGTGCCTGGCCTCCCCTGTTTAATTCTCTTCTCACGTTTTGTACTTCTCTTCCTTACTCTCAGCAGACAACCTTACTTCTTCCTGCACAAAGTAAAGGTAAAAGCCATGAAGCTCAGTATCTTCCTCCTCACCACGAAAAGACTCTACAATATGAGTCAATTTCAGAACTTCTAAGAGTATGAGGCAGACCCTTGCCACTTCCAGCTTTTGAGGATCTGGACATTTTAACTTTGGTATTGAGGAAATTATTTAAAGGTGCTGTGGGTTGTTTGTTAATTTTAAGTAGATAAAGCATTTGCATTATTTAAAAATCAAAATGTATTTAAGGGTGTTCATTGAAAACTCTGCTGCTAATCCCTGTCTCCAGACTTTTTGATTGACAGCCATTGTTGGCAGTTTCTTACATATCTCATATAACTGAGAAATAGTACAATGAGATACACTTTTGCACCTTACCTCACTTAATGTTATATGCACAGGTAGTTACACATCTGTACAGGAGCAAAGTATTCTATGATATGCCATAATGATTTAATTTGTCCTCTACTGACAAATATATGTTGATCCCAATCTTTTATTATTATATGCTATAATGAATAATCTTGAATGTGCCAGTCATTATACACATGGGAGTATATCTGTAGCATAAATTGCTGTGAATGGAATTACTTAGCCAAAGGATATATGCATTTGTAATTTTAAGAGATATTGCAAAACTTTCCTTTTGTATAGATGAGAAAAAAATAGCTCAAAGCAGCCTGAGCTGTGAGAAGTTTGCAAAATTTATCAGGCCCAGAGAAGCCTTAAACAATAAAGACATTTATTTATTTATTTATTTATGAATGAGACAGGGTTTTGCTGTGTCACCCAGGCTGGAGTGCAGTGGTGCAATCATGGCTCACTGTAGCCTCGACTTCAGCCTTGACTTCCTGGGCTCCTGCAGTCCTCCCACCTCAGCCTCCCAAGTAGCTGGGACACAGGTGCATGCCACCACCCCTTTTTGTATTTTTGGTAGAGTCAGGGTTTCGCCTCATTGCCCAGGTTGGTCTCAAACTCCTGAGCTCAAGTGATCCATCCACCTCAGCCTCCCAAAGTGCTAAGATTATAGGTGTGAGCCACCATACCTGGCCAAGACTTTTAACAGGCAAAAGGAGGTACTGCCTTGTGGGAGCAAATAGTTTATATTTTTTATTTTAAATTAGTGAATTGGAATTCTGTTTTATCAGCCAGTTTCTTGTAAACTTGATCAATGTGTTGCTTCTTCAAAACCTGGTCGAGCATGGTTGCTCACACCTGTAATCCCAGCGCTTTGGGATCACTTGAGGTCAGGAGTTCAAGACCAGCCTGGCCAACATGGCAAAACTCTCTCTACTAAAAATAAAAAAATTAGCAGGACGTGGTGGTGCACGTCTATAATCCCAACTCCTGGGGAGGCTGAGGCAGGAGAATCCCTTGAACCTGGGAGATGGAAGCCGCAGTGAGCTGAGATTGTGCTGCTGCACTCAAGCCTGAACTACAGAGTGAGATTCAGTCTAAAAACAAAACAAAACAAACGGAACAAACAAAAAACCTTATGAGTATGGGACTTCAGTCATGACCCCTCGCATCCATGACCAGGGCAATTGCTTAAAGGCATTTTGTTCCTGACTCGCTGCCTCACCCATTATCTTCATGTTTTTGGAGTCTGTGATATAAAGAACAAAGTATAACCAATCAATAGCTTCTGTTTACTTTTTAGTTTTTAGAGATAGGGTCTAGCTCTATTGCCCAAGCTGGAGTGCGGTGGCGCCATCATAGCTCCCTGAAGACTTGAACTCTTGGGCTCAAATGATTCCTCTGCCTCAGCCTCCCAAGTATCTGGGACCACAGGCATATACTACCAGGTCCAGTTGCTTATATTATTTTAATGCAAATTCTTGCAAAACGGCTTAGGAATTATGTCTTCTTTTTTCCTTAAAAACCCACTTATGGCTGGGCACTATGGCTCATGTCTGTAATCCTAGCACTTTGGGAAGCCAAGGCGGGAGGATCACTTGAGCTCAGGAGTCTGAGACCAGCCTGGGCAACATAGGGAGACCTCATCTCTATTTAAAAAAAAAAAAATCCACTTGTGGCTGGGCATGGTGGCTTACACCTATAATCCTAGCACTTTGGGAGGGGCAGGAGGATTGCTTGAGTGTAGAGTTTGAGACCAGACTGGGCAACATAGTGTAAACTGTCTCTAAAAACATTTTTTAAAAACTTAACCAGGTATGGTGGTATGCCCCTGTAGTCCCAACTACTCTGGAGGGTGAAGTAAAAAAGGAGGATTGCTTGAGGCCAGAATGTTGAGGCTGCGTAAGGCGTGAAGGCACCATTGCACTCCAGTCTGAGCAACAGAGCAAGAGCCTGTCTTAAAAAAAAAATAATAATAATAAATAAAATAAAGAAAGAAAGAAAAGAAAAAGAAAAACCCAGCCCACTTGTAACTGCTGCTAATAGGAGTGCATATTCAGGGCAACTTGAATCAATACTGCTGAGTGGCCATCCTCAAGCTTTGGGCTCAAATAAACTCTACATTTAACATATTTCCCAAATCTCCTTATTGAAGGTTGACATAGGTTTTGCCAGTTTATACCCTGTTCAGCAATATATGGAAGTACTTGTTGGAATGTATGAAAAGGGTCTGTGTGTGGCGGGGGGCGGAGGGGGTGGTGGTTTATGAGAAGCACCAAATTAGTAGGGGCCTGGGCAGAAGTATGGGTAGTCTGAACATCTTGTTTGCAACTGGCATCTGAAGTGGGGGCAGTCTTGTGGGACTGAGCCTTAACCTGTGGGTCTTCACTGACTCCGGATAGGTAGTGTCGGAATTGAATGAATTGTCGGATAACCAGTTGGTACCAGGAGAATCAGAGACTACATACATAACCTTGGAGATGATTTTTATGTTTGAGGTCCTTTGTTGAGGTCCATCTTGTTTACCACCTTCTCTCCTCTCAATATGCCCCATTGTGTTTTTCCTTCCAGAATTTTTTCTCTTTTATGCTTTTTTAGAGATAGGGTCTCACTCTTGCTCAGGCTGGAGTGCAGTGGCACGATCATGGCTCACTGCAGCCTCGACCTCCTGGGCTCAAGCAATCCTCCCATCTCAGCCTCCTAAGTAGCTAGGACTGTAGGTGAGTACCACCATGTCTGGGTAATGTTT